TTGAAAAAGTTACATCAGTGTATGAGTTACATGTTTCCAAATCAATTACAATATGTTAACAAAACATGATATATTGACGCCTTAACGTCCCATCCTCCATATGCACTTTGGTACCTGTTTAGTGATTTCCCGATAATACAAGTTGTTTGAAAAAGTGTCAACACAAAGGTTGGTGAGTTCATAAGTTTTTGTTTTCGAACTTGATAAAAGTCTTTCTCTTGTAAATGTCACGTTTGTTTCAGAAAAATCCAATATTTTCCTTAAAATCTGTGTAATGTAGTCTTATAACCGAAGACCAAAATGTATAAGTAACCTCTCTTACTAATAGAAAATGATATATGTGTTTAAATCGACATAAATGCGTTTGAATTAAATGAAATTCCCGTAAATTCTTATGTTTGTTAATACTTTCTGTGAGTTTATTATAACCATGCTATGACCTAGTTGGCCTGAAACGACGTTCTTCAGGTGTCAGAACTGTTTATGACATTTGTCACCCCAGACCCGCCGGTCTAACTGTTGCATGTAGTTAAGGTGTGGGTTTATCAAACCCAATATAGATCTATATAAAACTATCACGCTCTCCCTCCAGGAGACTCTGGTTACAATACATGACTTAATGGTAAGTGTGAAGCGAATGTCTCAAAAAGTCTTTAACAAATTTACATGTAATGTAATGAAAACCCCTTATTGTATAAATGTACACTTTTTGTATGAGTGTGTTATGTAATGTATCATAAACCATACCTATTACAGTTTATCAAAACAAGGGTAGTAATGGTAACGTACGTAAACTATATTCAACGTAGTTCGTTCAATTGTTTGAGTAAAATGGATGTACTTTGATTATAACAATCGTGTTATCTGTTATATTTCATATGTATATCTATATCAAATCCATTTATTAACTGATGCATGTTCATATACCAAGATAAAATATCATTCATTTGTAATAACATACATTCACATAAAGATATACACCTTGCTCAACATGTCACAAGGTGATAATAATATGTTAGCATTTTTCTGTTAGTAACAACTTCAATCACTGTTATTAGCAAATTAATAAAAACTTCATAATAGATCCAAATCAGAATCCGTAAATTCTGGGAGTTTGGTTAACGAGTCTAGTTTGTTCATAAGTTTTTCCATGATTTTTACTGACCTCCAACTTAGGTGAAAACGTCGATAAACATAGACTGGTCCGGATTGGTTCTTGAAATGATAGGCAGTTTTGTAAAAATCACCATAAATTGTAGAAAAATCATATGGAGATGTGAAAGTAGTCATTTTAAAGCTAAGAACTTGAGCTACTTGCACCTTGTACAGTTTTGAAAACAAAAATGTTTTAGTTGACCAAAATAGTCCGTGAATGGAGTCCAACTTTTCTGATGTAAGCTGTTAGAAATATTTAGTTGTGTTCTTAATGATTTGACTTGTATTCTCCCCCTTAAAACATAAGAAAATATGAAAATGTAGGGGTATGAACTCACCTTATGTGATTTCAGTGGGTGAATGCTGAAGAATTGAAGTGTTCAACTCAAGAACACTTGAAGGATCACTTGAAGATTTGAGAATCTAACACAATAATGATGGAGTTTGTGTAAGGAGTAAATGATTTGTGTAAAAGGAAATGTAATGACCATAACAAGGGTGATGATACTTACCAAATGAAGATGAAAAGCTTGAAAGATGACTTGGAAATCTCAAAATTATATGAGAGAATTTGAGAGAAAAGATGTGTTTGATCTTTTGGTGAAATGAAAGCAAGTGAGTGAAAATGAGGAGAGAGGATGAGTGTCCAGCTTTAGTAGTGTGGAAAAAAAGGTTAGAAATGATGAAAAAGCACATTGACAAGACCTGGGTATGGTGGGAGGAGTATGGATAGTCATGGAGTGGGTGTGAGAGGTTGCTTGTGTCATAAGTTAAAGATAAGTCAACACTCCACCTCCTTGTACTTTACCCACTAAATTTTATTCTTTAAATAAAGATTTTTCATGAAAACATGATTAAATTATGAATATTTAGGGTTTATTATGTTAAAATACAAGTTTGGGTGAAAATCCCACGTTAAAATCACGAAAAACAGTTCTTAAAATGTGAAAATGGTCAAAAATTGGAAAAATATGCGAGAAATGTGAAGTCTGGCCGAAGGTTCAGTTTCTGATGCTTGGAACCGAGAGTAGAAGAGGAGACCAAAAGTGCAGAAGAAGGAACCGAGAGAAGGGGAAGGATCCAAGAGTGCGAGAAGAAGTACAGAAAGCGAGGCTCGGTTGCGACGGAGGACCGAAAGTGCGAAGGCGGGAAAGAAGAAGAGGCGAGGCTCGGTCCCCAGGGGTTTCGGCTTCCAGGTTTTGGTTTTGGCTGCCAGGTCTCGGTTTCAGCTTCCAGGTCTCGGTTTCGGCTGCCAGGTCTCGGTTTCAGCTTCCAGGTCTCGGTTTCGGCTTCTAAGTCTCGGTTTCGGCTTCTAAGTCTCGGTTTCGGCTCCTTGAGGCTGATTTCCACGTTTTTAACCCGTTTCAAGCCGTTTTTGACCCGGTTAAGGGTCAGGATGGCCCGAATGACTATAAAAAGTTACGGGAACTTTTGAGAGAGATTTGGGAGAGATTTGAAATAGAGAGAGATAGAGTGACTATGATTGAGGGAGGTTTCGTTTGTAACCTTTTTGAGTGTCCGACTTTGCAATGTGAGGTCCGTAAACCCCGTTAATCCATGTTTTAAGTCCCCACACACTCCGGATGAGTGTGCTATTAAATAGTGTTTTATCGCTTTGGTTCAATGTTTAGCAATATTAAAGGTATGAAATTTCAAATGTATTAATTTTCCAATGATGTTTTCTCATTAAAATAGTGGTTATACATAAATTACATAACACAAACCCTAATATACAAGGTTTAATTGAGTTGACCAATTTGACTCGATGACTTTGTTCGACCTAGACTTGACCCGAAATTGATTATTGTCACATCATCCCCCCCCCCCCGTTAGAGAGAATTTCGTCCCGAAATTTACGTTTTGGTCGGGACTTCAGGAGTTTGGGAAAAGATGCGGGTATTTTTGTTTCATTTGATCTTCGCGTTCCCATGTGAACTCAGGTCCCTGTTTAGCATTCTAGCGGACCTTCATAATGGGAATACGACTCTGTTTTGTTCGCTTGATCTCTCGATCCATGACTTCGACTGGTTCTTCCACGAAGTGGAGCTTTTCGTTAACTTCAATTTCGTCGAGAGGTATTACAAGTGTCGCATCCGATAGGCACTTTTTCAAGTTTGATACGTGGAAGGTAGGGTGTATGTTACTAAGTTCTTGTGGTAATCGGAGTTTGTACGCCACAGGACCCACCCTGGCAAGGATTTCAAATGGCCCGATGTACCTCGAGTTTAGTTTCCCACGTTTACCGAAACGTATCATTCCTTTCCAATGGGAAACTTTTAGTAATACCTGGTCTCCGACCTGGAATTCTAAGGGCTTGCGTCGCTTGTCTGCGTAACTCTTTTGTCGATCACGGGACGCCTTCAATCTTTCCCGAATTTGAACAATCTTTTTTATGGTCTCCCTTATGATTTCAGGACCAGTAACGGTGCTATTAGGGACTTGACCCCTAGCTAGCTGGGTATCCCCCACTTCGGCCCAACACAGGGGTGACCTGCATTTGCAACCGTAGAGAGCTTCCAATGGAGCGACTTTAATGCTGGTGTGATAGCTGTTATTGTAGGAGAATTCAATCAGCGACAAATGGGTATCCCATGCTTTACCAAAGTATATCACACAGGCTCTCAACATCTCTTCTAATGTTTGTATAGTGCGCCCGCTTTGTCCATCAGTTTGTGGATGGTAGGCCGTACTCATGTCTAGCCTAGTTCCCAAGGATTTCTGTATAGACTTCCAAAATCGCGAGGTGAACCTACTATCTCGGTCGGAGATAATGGATATTGGTACACCATGCAGTAGCACAAACTCCTTGATGTATGTCATGGTTAACTTTTCCATCTTGTCGGTTTCCTTTATTGGTAGGAAGTGCGCAGACTTGGTCAATCTGTCTACAATTACCGATATGGTGTCAAGCCCACCCGATGTCTTAGGTAGCTTGGTTATGAAGTCCATGGTTATCCGTTCCCACTTCTACTCAGGTATATCTGGCTGTTGTAGTAATCCTGATGGCTTCTGGTATTCTACCTTGACCTTGGCGCAAGTCAGACACTTGCCTACAAAGGTAGCAATCTCAACTTTCATGTTCGGCCACCAGTACAATTTCTTGAGGTCTAGATACATCTTATCCGAACCTGGGTGGATGTAATATCGTGTCTTGTGTGCTTCGTTCATGACAACGTCTCGGAACCCACCGAACTTCAGTGTCCAAATCTTGTTCATGAGGTAGCGAGCTCCGTCCCCCTTGACTTCTAGGTTTTTATCCATTCCTCTCAACGCCTCACTTGTCACATTTTCTGGTTTCAAGGCTTCAAGTTGAGCTTCCTTGATTTGTGTGAACAGGTGCGAATGGATCATCATTGTCAATGACTTCACCCGGCGACCCGAATACTCTTTTCTGCTTAGGGCATCGGCTACAACATTAGCCTTGCCCGGATGATAGCGGATTTCGCACTCATATTCATTCAGTAGATCTACCCATCTTCTTTGTCGCATGTTGAGCTCTTTTGATTGAGAATGTGCTGAAGACTTTTGTGATCGGTGAAGATGGTACATTTTGTGCCGTAGAGGTAGTGCCTCCAGATCTTTAAGGCGAACACTACCGCTCCCAGTTCAAGGTCATGGGTAGTGTAATTAACTTTGTGGGTCTTAAGTTGCCTTGATGCGTAAGCGATAACCTTTCCCCTTTGCATGAGCACACAACCGAGACCTTGATTCGAAGCATCGCAATACACCACAAAATCATCAGTTCCTTCTGGAAGAGACAAGATTGGTGCACTGCATAGGGCTTGCTTTAGTGTTTGGAAGGCGGCTTCACTACTAGAAAAGCAGCCTTTTACGACGTGCAATTTATGATACGCTTCGATTTACGATACGCAAAAGTATGCGACCTAAAAATAATGTCATCTCTCTATAACTTTTAAGAATTTAGGACGCGCATTTTTGCGAGCCATTAAATTAGTGTCTAAAAAAAACACGGAGGGCGCCTATAATAAAATGTGTATCGTCTGAAGATGTCGCTTTATGAATTTTAATGGAAACGCGCTTTCCATCATTTAATAGCTGGGGGGAATGAAATATTAAAAAATTAAAAAGCCCGCCTCCCTTTTTCTTCCTTTCCCTCTTGCCCTAATTACCAACACTCCTTCCTTCCCTCCTCCTTTTCTCTGTAAACCCTAATCTGCCTCCACCACTACCGAATCTACCTCAACTCACCTCTGACATCGGCTCATCTCTTTCCGATCGCTGCTAATGAACGTATTTTGTGTTTAATTTGGGAGCAAATCGCGATTTTTGTACACCGGAAGCCTAGATGATAGGTCTGACGCGGCGGCATCTCTTGTCTCGCTTGCGAGAGACAACGATCAATCGCTTCTAATCTCTTTGATCCAAGGTTTATTTAGGCTCCATCTAGAGGAAGTATCTCTTTCATATTTTTTTACATCTCAACGTGTTTCTCGGAAGCATCATAACTGGAACCGCGCTTTAGCAACAAAAAGATTTCTTGGATCAGTTGCCATCCCGGAGAAAAACTTTCAGCAAATATGCCCAATCAAAATTCTTCTTCATTTTGATTGAATCAGATAACGTCTTCGTCGCCTGACTTCAATTTGAGTTTATCAGAAAGGGCGTTCGCCGCCGCTGGAGCCGGTTTTCTATCTGTAGTTATAGTAAATCCTCTTGATGTCGCAAAGGTACTCTTCTTCCTCGATTATTTTCCTTACACATGTTAGTTCCAATTTCATTCTCGACCTCTATAATACTCTGGTCATGGATCTCGATGCCAACTATATTGGTTTCCCTGATTTGATTGGGAGAATTGATTGGCTTCATGTATTGCCTGATTATGCAGACTAGATTGCAAGCTCAGGCTGCTGGTGTTCCATATCAGAATCTCCACTCCAAATGTCGCTTTGAACCAAACACAGGTTCAATTTTCGAAGTCGCCGTCTTTCCAAATCGAATCCAAGGGTTGAATTTCCTGAACTCATCGTCACTCTTATTCTATTGCTACACGAAATTACAGATTTTGTTCTAAAATGTTGTGATGTTGGGGAGGACATTAAAAAATTTAAGTGGTTGTTCTATTGCTACCTTCCTTTCTATCATTAGACAAAACTCTAGATTTTACTTTTACCACAACATTTTCACTGACATATGTGATGATGGTTGGCAGTAAACCAAGGAAATCTGGAAGTGGATCCTCATTAGATGCAATTAAATTTGGAGAGGTTTGGCTTTATTGTATTTCTGAATTAACCTAGAATTTATGCTATAAAATCATGGAGAATACCCTTGTGTATGCAAAACACGTGATATGGCTTAATGTGTGATTTTGGAAAAAGATAACAATGGTCAAAAAACAACAAAAAATTGTTTTTGGATAATATTGAAAACAAAAAGTACAACACAAGGAAAAACTTTGTAATTTACTCAAGATGTTATGGAATTACTTATATACCCTTGTGATGGATGCAGTAAAAGGAAGAGCAGTTACTATCAGTGGCAATGACAGGCGGCTGTACAACTCACTGCAAGGAAGCTTGGAGGGAAAACAAACCCAAAGTACTCTGTGAATCAAGCAAACAGAAATTGAAACTTGTAGATGAAATTTTAGTATAATACCCTTTTAGTCTTGTAATATCAGTAGTAGCTTTTCACTAAATTTTACAAATCTTGTGCTTTTTTTATAGACATTTGAGTTTGCCCAGAGAACATATGCAGACTTTTTTAGAAGATTGGTGGAAGAACTTATTGGGATTTCAGAATTTGTTTTTATACGGATATGGTGCTGTTTTCAACTTCCTAGGCATGCTTGGAACTGTCATTATTAAAGGTACTTACTCCCTTGGATTTTACTCTGACCATTTTACCCTTTTACTTTTTTTTTAATTATGTTAATCATTCACAGAAAACCCTTATTTCCATGTGATTATTTTTTCCAGGTCCTGAAAGCTTTGATATTTTACAAGGACATTCAAAAGCTACCATTCTTTTAATTGTGAACAATGCAGCTCAAGGAATTGTATCCTCTTTTTTCTTCAAATATGCTGGTAACATTATTATAAGCATTTGTTTTTTTACACAATAAAAAGATTATAAATAGTGGAAGACTAACTTTAATATCTATTATTTATAACATGCAAACACAATTTTGAAAAAGTATTCATCAACAGTTGCTACGATCTTCACTGGCTTTACATCTGCAGCTTTATTTGGTTACACTCACACTATAAATGTTATGTTTTCATCTCAATGCATCAGGTATATGGATTCAACAGTTTTTGTCCACTAATAATTACATTACATATAACTTGTAATTGTCCTATTATTATACATCCAAAATACATGTAAATAAGAAGCAAGACAATGATTTAATTTTTTTTTTCAGCTTTCAAAACTTCATCAGTTAATGGTACATGCAGCAGAAGCACTGGAAATTGAAGCTCCTGATTTATATAGCCATATACACTAGCCCTTAATGGTGTACGGATAGCAGTTGCAAATATTTTTTTACCCTTGGAGCCTACACGGTACCTGGTATGTTACCTATTATTATTCTTTATAACCTTTTAATGTAAATCTCACAAAATCCTGAGTTTCATTTAATTAAGTGTTATCTTAAATGGGGAATCTAAAAGGTAATGACCAGTATTATATGCATCTTTGCAATGGCTGGTGTGAAAGAGCTGAGAAAAATTGCCCCTTTGAGATGGTAATTGGCGTTTTTGACTTTTTTTATTACCCTCTGACTTTGACTTTATTGTAGTTCTTTCATAATACAAACAGATTTTGAATGCAGATGGAATCTAGTAGAAATAGATGCAGAATTGTCGAAATTGACCATGGAGACAAAAAGTGTCTTGTCACTTATTTATCCTTCAAATACATACATGGTACATTAATCTGTTAATTGCACATTTTCTTTTTAAATTTTAATGTTATTATAAGGTTTCATGAAAGTCTTTTAACTTATTTTTGGTGTTACAGGACCTTAATATTGGGATTGCCTTTTGGTTGGCAGCTGGTGGTGATGGGTGTGTGAGTGAAGAAATAAATGGAAATAATAATTTAAAGGTTAAATACAAGTCTGATTCCAGGATCCAATTGGTTGGTTCTGGTGCAGATGAGCAGTGTGGTGGCTATGGGCGCCATAGAACTAAGTTCAGAGAAAGCAGGTTACTTCTTATTAATCAGTATTATCTCATACTGTAAAAGAAGCAAGATAAAATACTGAAGTAAGTTTTGATGATTATTTGTTGATATGTTTATTTGGGGTGGTCTAAATAAGGAAATGAAGTTAGATATGCAGAGAATATGGAAGAGAAACCTAGGTAGAGATGATAGATGCATCGCTGATAATGGCAAAGAGGTACCACTTGCTTCTTTGTTAAGTCGTTCAGTTCTTTATGTGTTAAGTCCAGAAAGAAACACATTACATTACACATTTAGTTGGATTGAATTTGAATGGACATGTGTGGTTTGGTCACTTCAGGCTAGGTTTCCTTTTCTGGATGAAAATGTAATAAGGATACTGCTTGATATTCCACTATGGGAGATTGCAGACCTTGGCCAACCAAGTGGAGTTGGTGATAAGATCTTGAGAAAGGTAAGTTTGTCTATTCCAGTTTTATCCTTACTAAACTTCCATGTGTACATGTGCACATTTTGATTACTTCATTTTCTCTGATATTGGTTCAGATCTTGGTCAATTTTCTGCAATATATGAATCCTGTTTTCCAGTTGTTAAAAAAGAGTGGGAAAAGTTAGAGATAGTTGGGGTTGGAGTTACTACATATGAGGTATCTTTGAAGAGATTTAGATTTTTTATGAGCATTTCATGATTTACAGCTTTTGTATTAACTTTTACACTTAATTCTTACATTGTTACAAAGAGTGGCATGTTGTTGTTCGTGTTGACTATATTCCTTCTCGTGTTGACTTACCTTCTTTAGGCCATGGGAAATATGTTGAACTTGTTAATCCATTTCAATGGAAGGTAACTTTCTTCATTTATTTACTTGTTTGCTACCAATTTGTATGCATAGTCATAGTTTGACTTAATTAGTTGCTTATTTTGTTTATTGGTTGCTTGTTTTCTAGCTTATTATAGACACTGATTGGTTTCTTGTTATTATTAAATCTTAACATCTATCATGGCAACCTTCAACAGTAGTTTTGGACCGGCACCTTCTTGCAGAAGATATCGTGTATGTGTTCTTGTGCTGCTATTGTGGATTCGGGAACATCCTTGCTTACTGGTCCAACTGTATGTATCTCACGTGAAGCTTCTGTTAGAACTATTAATCTTAGGGATTTCAAGTTTTTCATATTTCTTGTATCTAATTCGTTTGTAAATTTCGTTACAACTTTTATTGATTTGTTTTATCTTTCCATGAAATGATTATTTGTATGATATATATTAAATTTTATGTAATGGATTGTATTTTCGTATATGATATTTTATTTATTATGAGACATTAAATGCAAATTTAATTTGAAAATTAGTAAATCTATAAATAATATTTTTTTTAAACATATAAAATTACGATACGCAAAAATGTGTGTCATCTTCATTTATGACATGGCCTTTCTTGACAGTGACTTCCTTGATACGCATTGCGTGTCATTAACACGCGCGTCGTAAGGTTACGACACGCGAATGTGTGTCGTCTTCCTTTATGACATGGCCTTCCTTGATACGCATTGCGTGTCGTAAACGCGCGTCGTAAATGCGCGTCGTCTCTCTTTATGACAGGGCCTTCCTTGACGCGCATTTGCGCGTCGTCTGAGCCTTTTACGACGCGCAATGAGCGTCGTAAAAGGTTGTTTTTCTAGTAGTGCTTCTTGTTTATCTTCCCATTTGAACGCCACACCTTTCTGAGTCAGGGTGGTGAGGGGCTTAGCAATCTTGGAAAAGTTCTGTATGAATCTTCGGTAGTAGCCTACGAGTCCCAAAAATTGTCGGATTTCTGTTGGCATTGTAGGTGCTGACCAATCTTCAATCGCCTTGATCTTTGAGGGATCCACATGTATTCCTTCCTTTCTTACCACGTGGCTAAGGAATCCTACTTCTCGGAGCCAAAATTCACACTTTGAAAACTTGGCGTAAAGCTTCTCGGATCTTAGCGTCTCCAATATTAGTCGCAGGTGTTGCCTTTGCTCTTCTTCGCTTCTTGAATAGACCAAGATATCATCGATGAACATGATCACAAATTTATCTAAGAAGGGTCGACACGCTCGGTTCATCAGATCCATGAACACCGCAGGCGCGTTTGTTAATCTGAATGGCATCACTACAAATTCATAGTGTCCATAGCGAGTTCTGAATGTCGTCTTGGGGATATCTTCTTCTTGAACTCGCAATTGATGGTAACCCGACCTTAAGTCGATTTTTGAAAAGTAGCTCGCTCCTTGAAGTTGGTCAAAAAGGTCGTCGATTTGGGGTAGGGGATATCGATTTTTGATGGTAAGTTTGTTTAACTCCCTATAATCGATGCACATGCGAAAGGATCCATCCTTTTTTTTCACAAATAGAACTGGTGCTCCCCTGGGTGAAAAGCTCGGTCTGATGAACCCTTTTCTCAACAGTTCATTCAACTGGCTGGATAGTTCTTGCATCTCTGTCGGTGCTAGGCGGTATGGAGCTTTGGCAACGGGGGTAGCTCTAGGAATTAAGTGGATTTGGAATTCGACTTGTCGTGCAAGTGGTACACCTGGCAGGTCGTCTGGGAATACGTCAAGGAAGTTGCATACTTCTAGAATTTATTTGATGTCCTTCACCTCTTGTTTCTTGTCTATGATGTGGGCTAAGAATGCATGGTATTGCTTTCGGAGGTACTTTTGGGCTTTGACACAAGAGATGATTTGTAGGTTCGCACTAGGTTTGTTGCCATAAATGGTGAGGATGTTGCCATTCGGCAGATTGAGGCGGACGGCCCTTTCGTAACATAAAATGTCGGCATGATGAGGGCTTAACCAATCCATACCAATGATTATGTCGAAACTTTTTATGGTGACCGGCATTAGATCAATTTTGAACGACTGGTTACCTAGAGTGAGAGTACACCCTATGTAAATATCGCTAGCGCGCTCAACCTTTCCATTTTCCATTTCTACGACGTAAGAATCTTTTAATGGTTGGGAATTTTGCTTAAGTATATGTTTGAATTGGTGACTTACGAAACTTCTTTCTGCCCCACTATCGAAAAGTACGCATGCATAAGAGGTATTGAGGAGGAACATACCAGTAACCACCAAGGGGTACTTGACTGCTTTTCCATGCCTTAAAGTTAGGACTCTTTCTATACCCCCAGCATTAGGGGCTTGTGCCTTGGGGCAGTTCCTCCTGAAGTGTCCTGCTTCACCACATCCATAGTAGGTTTGGCTTGCCCCTGCATTGGCAACTTGGTTGACCGGTCGTGCTGGCGCTTTATAGAAACGAGCAGTGTGCCCTTTTCTATCACAGTTTTTGCAGTGCATTTCCCGACAAGCACCATTGTGGTGGTAGTTGCACTTGTTGCACTTAGGGAGACTCCCTCCATATTGCTTTGGTGGTGTCAGAGAGGTAGCAGTGGTGGCAGTACCGATAGCAACAATCTGTTGCTTCTTGGCGGGGTCCTGCGTCGGTTGTTTCTTTTTATTGTTCCAGAACTTCCTCTTGTTGTTCCCTCCTTTTGTTTGGTCGGTGGTGGCTATCACGGTACCACGACTAGCCCTGTGATCTATAAGTTGTTGTGCCAATTCCTTGGCACTCTCAAAGGTAGTGGATTTCGAGGCCAATACACTATCTTGAATTTGGGATGACAGCCCCTAGAGGTATCGCTCCACCTTTTTCTCCTCTGGAGTGACCATTGTTGGACAGAGGAGTTCTAGGTCATTGAAGCGGGTAGTATAAGTTTCAAGATCTGTGCCTAACATCCTGAGGTTCCAAAGTTCCTCTTCAAGTTTTTGTATTTCGCCCCTCGGGCTATACTCCTTTAACATCAAAGCTTTCAAATCCTCCCAGCTTATAGAGTTAGCCACTGTAGGAGTAAGTGATTTAACTCGGCCATTCCACCAAGTAAGAGCTTTTCCAGTGAAAGTGAATGCCGCATACTTGACCAAGCTTGCTTCGGGACAAGCACATATTTCGAAGACTGCCTTGGTCCTTTCGAACCATTGCACCAATGTAATGATGCCCCCGTCTCCATTGAAAGGGTCGGGCTTGCCATTCGTGAAGTCTTTGTAAGAGCACTCCTTTGTACGCCCCGTGCTGTCCCCATGAATTGAATTGGTAGCTCCGGATCCAGAACCGCCAGAACCATTTGTTCCCATTTGCGACATTGCTGCCGCCACGGCTGCCGTCACTGCAGCCCGAAACATCGCAGGATCAAACTGCGGAGGTGGTGGCGGAGGGGGGGGGGGGGCGTTGTGTTGCCGGAAGGTCTTGGTCTTTTCCTTGGTGGCATGTGTCACACCCCGCTAAAGCGGAAACGCAAGGTATGACAGCGATAACGGTTTCAATGCAAAAGATAAAGATACATCACCATAGCAGTATTTAAAAGTTTACAACCCATAGCTTCAAAAGAAACAAAATACAAGTTTTTCAAAATAACATTGTTCAAAATATAGCTTCATAATAGCTTCAACACGATGCAGCATGCTCTATGATGATGAATCTTTACATCCACTTACTAATTACTTCCTGAAAAAGCATGTAAAACGAGCGTCAACTATGAAAATAGTTGGTGAGTATCACAAGTTTATAAATCGAGGGTACAATAATGCTTTTCGTAAGTACAAGTACATTGCTTTAATGATAAAACAAAGTTGATTGCTATTAAGGTATACAAGTTTATTGCTAGAACGGAAACGCGTTTGTATGTGTATGAGCAAACAATGAGTCTCAACCAAACCTATGACTGAAGCCCTATCGAGATCTATGCTTATCGTTCCATAGATGAATATGGTATCATGCACTCCAGCGATTCGGGCGAGTGAGGAGTTGTCAATTCCTAATAGCGCTATCCATAACGACCATTGGCTCAAAGAGTTAATGGTTAGAGATAAGGGAAGGGCCTTAGTACGATAAGTTCTCATGTTCCGTGTTGCATAGATATACATAAAGAAACATAGCAATACAATAGCAATCATGTTTGATACAATTCAATTTAAATACAACATGCAAACAGTAGTTTTTCTGGACATGCTTTTCCACCCCAAAACATAAAAAC